GATTGTTTGCTCTATAAACTACAAGGTGATTTCTATTTGAAAGTATAATTATACTTATTAGAAGTTAATAATTATTTCAATACGTCATTTCTTGTATTATTATTATTCTCTATAGATGATAAATGTACGGTCGTGGTAAACAATCCGTCCTTCAGATCAAACCAGTCGAGGACCCTATAATGTCGGGTCGTCCTCAGGGCGTCTGACTCATAACACTGCAGGCGCAGTAAAGAGGGCATTGCTCACTTGGTTACTCCCCTCTTGGCTCGCCTGCTGCATCAACGGCCACCGATTGAAAAATAAACTACTCATATGCGTGTCAGGACGTTCATTGTTCATACGTCCTTATTCTGATTCTATTGTCTCACACTTGTGCGCCATTTTATTATTGATTGCAAATTTATGACTGCATTGTCAACCTTTTCTGTACTAGAAGCATAATAAAATTCGTAACCCAATTGCGGTTTAGGTACGTCTTTTTTTAAATTAATTAATTAATTACTATATAAAGCAGGATAAGCAGGATAAAATATTTAAATATTGTTTTTCTGTCTTTTATATTATAATTAGTAATCATATTATCCGATATTGTCTCATTTAGTAGTGAAATGCTTGTCATAGTCTCCGTGAAGATTCTGACAAAAAGTGGCGAGTTTATTGTAAAAATAAATATGGATATGGAATAGGGACACTTCAAATAGTAATATGGGTCCTTTTCAAGATATGTTAGTACTCGCACGAGTATCAATGGCAACAGAATTAAACAAATTAAAACGTATGTAGAACCTACCTAGTTATTTTTTTTTTTTCAGAAATCAATTATCAGTTATATATAATATTTGCATATGTAAATCTCTTTCTTTTCTACTTATTACATTAAATACACTATTACATCTCCTGAGATAACAACATAGATAGAAACAACCAACAATTTGATCAAAAATGTTATAAAGTTAGCAAGTATGATAAAAATTTGCCAAAAGGTAATGGTATAATAACATTGTTTTATACATATATAAATTAAAATTAATATTTCGATTCCAACGATGCAATGAAACGACACGCCGAGAGTAACTTTAAATATAGAAGAGGATGCCAGCAGGTCGGATGACATCTATAATAAGACCACGGGAGACCGATGATATGTACGTGTATATTGCTCAAGCTTTCACGGGTTATTGACACTTCCACCACCAACAATCCACTTGTTTGGATTAAGTTTAATTTTCAAATGTCAATATGCATGAATTTTACTATTATTATATATTTTCTATTTTATTAACGTGTAAAATCCTTATAAAAGTAGTTTTGACTTTATATTAGAATTATAAATGGAAGATCCATTTTCGTGGAACTTTGCAAAGTTTTTTCGTAGTTAATGTTTCGTATCGTGAAATAATATTGTATTGATTCAAATTAAATATTTCTAAGTTCAGACATTTAAGTTGCATGTTAATAAATCAATCATTTATGTAGAGATCTTATGTATAGGTTTTATGTCGTAATCAACAGATGATGATAAAATATCTGTATAATACAAATACTTGCGGTGTTGGACGGAAGTAGGGTTTAAAAAAATATTAACTTGTATAAATTACGAAAAAATGCCCTTTATGAATTCGTAGTAATTATATCTTCATCGTCATTTCAATTTCACTATCTTTTGTTCAGAAGTCACCCGTTGAATTTGTTCTTTCAGGCGGAATTTAGATATCCTGAATAATCGTGTATATACAATGCTTATCTTTTATTCATATTCTTATTTGAACTAAAAATACAAATAATAGAAACTAAACTACAAATGTTCACTATACATATTATTATATACAAGTAGATTTGACAAACCATAAGTATTTTAAGACAGAAAAAGGTATATTCATCCTAATGACTATTATAATGTTATCGTTTACAAAATAACTTTTTTGTCGCCGTTGCAGTATGATAGGATCACCGTGGGTGGTCTTGACAAAATGGGCGAACCGCCTGTTAGCTGTTTCAAAAGAAGCCATTTCTTCATGAACACATACGCACTCGGAAATCTTACTATACCAGGGATACCACACATACGCACACATCTGATAGCTACAGTAACTATTTACCATTAGGCTGGTTATATCATATTATTTTTCCAACGTAGTGGTAAAATAAATTAAAAAAGCTTATATTACTTCTTATCTGTATTGCTGAAATATGTCATTGGGATTTCTGATTAATATTATTTTGACCTGCTTTCGCATGCTAAAAGTATCATGCGTGATGTGATGAATCATCTATTGTTAATCGTCATAGGAGCGGTTTACTGAGACCAAATGTAGGTCGGGCCGCTCCATTTGCCACAGTGGCAAATTGTTGATCGACCTCGGACTACTCATTGCGCGTACGATAACATATCTACAGAACTGTAATGAAAAGATGCTTTAACTACAAAGTTTTCCATTCTTTATAAAAGTACTGAATCATTCTTCCTAGTCCTCGATTATTTCTTGCTATAGACAATGTTATATTGTCGTATGCAATATAATGTTAAAGTAGATTTTTTCTTGTTTCTAAGACCATTTGAATTCCCAATTTAAAGTTACTATGTTTTATTTAAAAATTCGTATAAAAATTATTCTAGGTTATTGATAAAAGATATTTTCCTTTTATGTTTATTTGGTTTATGTCCCATCACTGCAAGAGTTGGCTCTCCATCAGCGCTGGCAGTTTCTGGGTCGCACCGATTAATTCACTTAGCCTACTTTTATTTACTGTTGTGACACTTTGTTTGACATAATTTTATTCGTATGTTTAATTTTAATTTTTTCATCATAGTCATTTAAACATTAAAGGTTGTTATAGGAATTCCAATGCTTTTAGGTAATTAAAAAAGCTATTAGATATTCCATTAACTATATATTAAAAAAAAGTTAAATTTTATTTATTAAATTATTTATTAATCTGTGTGATACACATACATACATAGATCACATCACCATAGACCACACTTTTTCATCTATGTTAAAATCTTATAAGATGACTAAGACGGGATTTATTTATTTTAGCTCTCCTTCTTTTCTAGCGCTTGGCCAGCTTAGTATATGAATGCTCTATCTCTTGTGTATATGTAAAACGTTAATTTTGTTAAAGTGAAGTTAACTAACAAGATTCTTTGCACTATTCTATGTGATCTAGTCAACATACAGCATATTGTAATATGACATTCAAAATAATAATCAGCAGCAAAAATTTGTTATTAAAAATAATATAAAAACGCCACATTTTTGCATAAAAATAACTTGAGTAAAATGAAACATTTATATATTATTGTTATCAGCCTTCGATTAGTTATTAGATTGTCAGAAAACAGTGATACTTAAATAAGACCCTCCAAAAATGATATTTGACCTCATAACAATAGCTTTTTATTAATTCCTTGTGATGGCAAGTTAACAAGAAACCTTTTGCAATAAGTGATTATATAACTGAATGCTAATGAAAATTGTACGTTTTAAGTTCAGACGGGTGATAATTTTCAACTTATAAGTATTGCAGCACTTGACTTAGTACAAATAAATAGTATCAAATAAAAGATTATTAATAATTTATTCTAACCGTGATTTATTATATATATTATAATTTTGTTTTCATTTTCTTAAGCAAAACTTTGATTTTTGTTATAATTTTCCTATATTATAATTGTAACAACAATAATTAATTATCGAGCAAATGCAGATGCATTGCAGGCAATTCATTTTAATCCAGATTTAATCATGTGAATCTTGATTCTATTTTCTCTATGCCTATCTGCCTATTAACTTGTTTGAATTTTTTCAAGCAGGACTTGGGTTCCTTATTATCATATTCCTATGTATAATTGCGAAATAAATCAATTATCATTAAGAAATATCTCCGTTGCAGACCTATATTAGTGATGGGATATATTACTTAGGCGGTCATCCGCACAGCTGGTATCGTGTGTGATACACCTTCACGCAAAACTAACGCACGGTTGCCGTGAGCGGATGCAGTGCAGTGATGAAACTGACACAGATTCTAACGCGTATTTGGTAATCGAACTACAAGCTCGTGAAAGTCTTGCAGGACGGCCATATCTCGCGTATTGTATACGTCCCACTTTGTGATACTCTCGACATTTTGACGGCACCAAAACCCAAATGATATTTGTAACTAACTCTTTCGCTGAGTTGTCATTGTTCGAGCAGCTGTCACTGCGTATGTACCTAGTACGTAAATGTGCTAGTATGTATTGTGTTCGCGTCCCAGATTTGGGAAGCGAAACTGCGATCGTTGATTGGCGAATTACGATGTTGCTACATTTTCGCCTTGCATTCAATTCCATGAGAAGTTACAGTGTTGCCTTTCGGCCAGTAGGTCACCCGTATTTTCGTCATTAACCTGTTACATCCAAATTATATTTATAATCGTAATAGGTAGTCAATTAAAACATTTTGGTGGGAGAAATGCAAAGTTAAAGAAAACTTCCTATTCGAATTACACCTATGAATAGATATAGAGATCAGATTTAATTTTGATGACTACATGGTATGATTACACTGTTATTATATACAGTAGTTGAGTAATATAAAGTTATCGCCAGTTTATATTAACAACCGTTATATTATGCTAAAACCTGTCATTGTATCTGCGATTTGATTGAAGATTGAAAATTAGAATTAAAAGTAACTAATAATATTACTACATATTAGTTTAATAGTATTAAAATACAAAAAGGGAATCTAAAATAATAAAGAGCATAGGAAAAGATATTATATATTAGATATTTATTACATACTTAGATACGTAACACATTTGCGAACAATTGTGATTGTAAAGTGTTCTCAAATGCACTTAAACTAAAGAATGCTTTCGCCTTGGTTTGAAAACTAGAGAAATAGGGGAAGAACGAAGGAGGATTCGCTCGCTTGATATATATTCACCCTAATACATAGAGATCTAATTCAATGAGCTTGCAACTTATAAGTATCGTATCGTTGTTGCAGGCTCGGGTCGGGCAGCGAGTGCGGCGGTGGAGGGTCGGGCGGCGGCGCGCCCGCTCCACAGTCGGCGCGCGTGTCCTCAAACGGCGCCGGCGGGATGGCGGTGAGCCGCGTGCCCAGCCCGTTACATGACGGGAACACGCCTGTCGCCGAAAACTGGTGCTTCACACAGGTATATAAGAACATTTTCTTAACGCCATACATTAGTAATTAGAAGGTAAGTCTACCGAATCCATTTGAAGAGGCGAAAATATAAGGAAATTGTCAATAAGTTTGATTTCTGTATGATATTCATTTATGTATAGTCTTTTTAAAGATATCTAGATATAGTTTAGTTTTAATATTTTTTTAAAACACGTTATCTAGTTTCTTTAAAAAATTAAGACTGCTTATTAAAATTTTTATTACGCTGATTGCTCCTGATATCAGTTGTTATATCAATACGACATGTGATAAAATCATACAAATTAATATTATTGACCTCAAAAATATCGATGTAGATTCCCATTGGGTACATCAAATAAGTGGTCGTAAAGCTCAACTCCACGGTCGATGTCGTAAATAAAAAACGAGTCGTCTGATGCCGAGCTACGGCATGACGATAAGGGCCGTTATCGGTGAACTTGAAATGTTACGCGTACGCAGATTGTTTTAATGTTATATAAATGAACAAGGAAGTACAAATTAGGTATACTATACGTTTGATGTGTACATCAAACACATATATACCTAATCTATACTGTAGATATCACATACGCACGCAAACATGCTTGATACTCGAAGTGTGGAGGTGACTCGTGCGTCACGTTGCGGAGCTAAACATAAGTAATTGCGGTATGCGGTCATCGGAAGGCAATGACGGGCTACACGTTTCTGCAACAATAAAACGTGCGATTTTTACAATAACCTATAAATTTATTATAGATATTCGCGTTCTCTTCCTGTCTTTAATATCTTTGCTCGAATTAGTATCTGGCTTTCCATTTGTCAAAACAATGTCTCCTAAATAACATTACAGTTAAAGTTGTCACCTAGAAAAGACCGATCTCTGATCTATTGAAATATACTATATTAACAGTGTCAATAACGTTATGTTCTGATAAAAATGGCCGTCTGGTCATCATTCAGAACAATCGGAACGACCGTTGGACGACTTAGCCACCGACCTGGTATTACCTTTTTTGATGCTTTTTGCCGAAAATTTTATTTAGTTCACGGACGGTAACGGTATTTTTACTTGATGCACGACCCGGCTACAGCACGTATACTTATTAAGGTCTCTGTTCTAAGTTTTTCTATTTTGGCGAGTTGATGATCTTACAAAGACCGTTATTAACAGAATGAATTTTTATATCTGCGTATACTTATTAAATCTTAAGCTTTTCTGAATTATGCAAAATTAAAATCAAACTTGTGTTTCAATTAGAAGCTTAACACGTGCACTGAGGCAACGTTTCCCTTCCAATACACGTGCCGTGCGATAACCACTCTTTTCATTACTTAGAAACGCGTCAACAATAAACTTTCCTTGTTATTGCTTCAATTAACGCTCAGTGCAAATGAACTTCCCAGTAGCCTTAATGGAATTAATTGCAAAGTAGTTTAAATTCGTCGCTGCCAGGTTTCTCTTAATGATACAGACTACATTTTAGCTGTTGGCCTTATACATTTTTTATATTTTCGTATTAAACGTAAGTAATATTATACTTGCATATGTAGTTTGTTAATATAAACGAGGATTCCCAGTAGCGAAGTCTAATTATAATTATCTATTATTTGATCATTTACCTAGATATCACGCACTGCTTACCTGACACTAAAGTCAGACTACGATTTATTTAAAACAAAATTTTCTCTCGAACCATATAAATAGAATATTATCTTATTGTGTTCACGTTAACTGAATAGAAGCCTGTTTCTGTATGAATTGGGGTTTTGTAATGTAATGATAAATCTCCTTTGAGAGAAGTACCTACATGGCCATGAGGACGCATTGGAATCTGCAAACGGATGTTATCTGAGTCCGCGTGGGGATGATGCGGGCGGCCTTGGCACGGGTCGGCGACCGGGCGAAGACCCCAGCAGCACCGCAAGCTCGCAAGCCAAGCAACGGTCGGGGGCAACGACCAGCAGCGCCCAGGCTGCGCCCGCGACGACGTCTACTGAGCCCCCCTGACCTTCGCCGCTGGTCAACCGTCCACCCTAACAATTCGGTTGGGCCCCAGGCAAAGCTATACTCACGCGAATTTCTCTTTATTTTCAATGCATTCAGTGTTTCATTCAGATTTCATCATTGTAGGTTTCCTCTATTAGGTTTTTGTTGTCTGTTAGGTGCTTTGTATTGTGGAATCAAAAATTTGTCATTATAAATAATTTGTACTTTAATAAAAAATCCATTATTAACAATATTTTATGATTGAACGAGATACGGTAGCTATAGTTGGATGGAAGCTATTTACGCTAATTTTAATGATTTTGAAACAGTTTTAAATATATCGTTAAGGAGACTATAAGGTAATAAACAATCACTTTCACATTTATAATATTAATAAATATATAAAATTATATTGTATGACTTGTTACATAATACGTAATAAAAGTCAAAATAATCATGAATATTTTGTGCCAATATTCTGTTTTCCGATATCGCCATCTTTTTCACATTTTTAACGTACTGTACAGCGTCTGAACTCGGAATGAAAAATCCCTTTTGAATTAATTTTGGTAGAATATTCTTAGAATTATTATTAGATGATTGACTTAAAAATAATAAACATAAAAAAATAATAGTAATAATTAATACATAATAATATTAATATTTTAAACATTTAAATTTTTTTACATAGCTGAGATAATTTACTAATAGAAAGATTTCAAATTATTATCAGTAATACAAATGTCTACTTTGTAGAACTAAATACCGTATTACTTTACTATACGAACAATAAGCTCTTTCAACTTTTTGTGTTCATAATATTTCCTAAGATAATTTGCCAATAGGATTACATATCAGTAATACAAATATCTACTTCGCAGAACTAAATACAGCATTTCTTTACTACACGAACAATAAGCTCTTTAATTATAAGCGAATAACTTGCGGAAATTGAGTCTTAAAATATTTTCTTGCTATATAAGGTATGTAAAGAAAATCTAATGTACTTGGTTATTTATATATGCCTATATATGTGTGTATTATGTAATACTGCATATTTTTGCAATATTTAAATGAGATAATGATCAGGTTATGTTTTTATGTAGGTTGCAAATTTCAACTGAAATTATTGAAATAACATAGTAAATAAAAGGCATCCTGTAACCTTGCGTTACAAGCTTTGTTTACAGAAATTTTATTTGCCATAAATAAGTCGTTAGCGCGTGCCCAAAGCGACCGTTTATTTTACTAGACGGCTGTCAGCGTGGCAATTAGACACAAAACACAAAGGGCTTGAGCAATCTGAATAGTGAATAGTTTGGGGATCTGTTGCTAAGATTTATTGTTGTGCATAAAAGAAACTAATTGACGGTGCTTCAACAAATTTTTCTATTATCTTTCACAGATGTTTTAAATATTATAATTTGACTATAAATTATTTCAAAAAGAATAAACTGACTTACCAAAATTTAATTTTACATTAAAAATACCTCAAATGTGATGAAATTAATGGGGCCAATATGGCTTTAAACCAATGTATATTCCTTGAAGTTCCTTGAAAGTCGCTTAAAATTAGCAAAATTGTTTTTACACATACACAAAACGACTGTTTGACTAAATTACAAAAAATTGGGTCTAATATTTATTTGAAATTATTGATATTCGAAGCCCTAAAAATAAAATCAAATATTAGTATATTTTGACTTAATTAAAATTATTAGTCTATATATTTTGTTTGTTTTTTTTTTTCATATTATTAAATTGGTTTATTTTCTTTTGTTACAGGTCAAAGTGGTGAAATTCAGTTATATGTGGACAATAAACAATTTTAGTTTTTGTAGAGAAGAAATGGGTGAAGTGTTGAAATCATCGACTTTTTCAGCCGGTGCTAGTGATAAATTAAAATGGTGTCTCCGTGTTAATCCTAAAGGACTCGATGAAGAAAGCAAAGACTATTTATCATTATATTTATTATTAGTGTCATGTAATAAATCAGAAGTGCGGGCAAAATTTAAATTTTCAATATTGAATGCTAAACGGGAAGAAACCAAGGCAATGGAGTCACAGCGAGCATACAGATTTGTACAAGGCAAGGATTGGGGATTCAAAAAATTTATAAGGAGGTGAGTGATACTTTAATTATCATATCTTTAGCGTAACGCATGCTGATCGTTGATTCATTCTGAACTTGGATTGAATAGAATTTACGCACGAAAATTGCGTGGGATGTAGGCACATGATACCTGTCTGGAATATTAATATTTCTTTGGTTTGATAATTGATTGGCCATTGGATAAGTAGCTTTATTCCACTTGTATATATGTATTTTATCTTCCAACTACTGCCAATTTTCATATGTTTTCGTCCATTCGTTTTGCCCAGCTTTTGAAGCAACAAAAACACCTGACAAAAATAGTTAACATCGATAATAATAAGGATAGATAAACTTGGTCCCAGTTATTGATAACTTACTGATAGCATATATGATAGCGTAAGTTTTGTTCATAAATATATATTTTCATCATGGCATCAAAAAAATACGTAATAATTTTAAAGATCAAGTCGTCATTTATTATTGTTCATTGTCTATCTGTTAAAGTCTACTGGGAATTTATTATTAAAACTTAAACTTTATTTTCAAACAGCCCTATAATTATGCATGGAATTTGTATCCCTACTTAATATAATAAATGTGAAAATGAGTTTGTTTTAGATTCGAATTAGGTATTTGGAATACATTATGCGGTAATGAATTTAATTAGTTGATTTTTATTCTACATGACCGTCATCTGTGAATACGAATAACACCATAGGCTTCACAATTTTTTATACTGTGACGTCAATAATACCTCTTATCCGTTGCCACTCGTGATGATGCTATCTTATCCTGTCCTGTTATACAATACGCTATCGCTCAATTTTTCTATTGTTACCCGAATTGCATCTCACGATCTTTGTTAACGATCATGGATTTAGAATAACTATTTCTATTCACAGAAAGATTATTGGAATTGTGACTGGAATCGTGTTATTCGTTTTTATCATAATTTTAAAGTTAGTCGCTGCGGTCAGTGACTCTCTAAAGTAGATAGTTAATTTATATGTTCATTTTTAAGCGACTTCATATTAAATTGGATTTTTGCTCTCCTGCAGTGCATATATTCTCATTTCCAATTATATTACGTAAGAAAAATCAGAGCGATTTGGAGCTGTTTCATGCAAATGTTTTAATTTCATCGTTTATCACGGGCAACACGCACTTGCTTAAAGACTTTCCACATTAGTCATTTCAGTAGTGGACAATGAATATGCTGAAACGATGATGAAAATATGTGTAAAATAATCTTTAGTTATGTTTTGCTGAAGTACCTAAGACACAGTTAGGTACTTTTGACGAGAAATATTATAAAGATTAACCTTAAATATATTCATATTTTACTTATTTTTATATTTAAATAGTAATAACCGGCAGTGGACAATAAATCCCTAAAATTATTATTACGATGAGTCTAGTGCTAGTAGTTTTTTTTTTCTATGAAATATTTAGGTACGTATGACCAGTGTAAAACGAGTTATTCGCATTTACTAATCCTTAATAGTATTATAAATATGAAAGTGAGTTTGTTATTGCTATTAAATTGCTTACATTAAATGTCACTTATTCAAATTAATCAAAATTATATAATTATCGATTATCTATATAAATAAATAAAGATCTTTACAAAACGTATGTTTGTAGAGTCATAGTGGCTCTAATTTAGTGCGGCAATTGTTCAGAAATGGACAATTAATGGCTAATATGATGATGTAGATATAATTATAGACAATCACTTACTTAATATGTAATTATTGTTAAGTACATATTAATTAATACTAATTCATTTTCACATTTATAATATGTACTAAGTATTTATTCATTATCTGTTGAATTCGTAAAGCTATGCCAATCGTTACTAACTTCGCCATTTATATTACACGTAGTTCTTACATGGAATAGAAAAGGTGATAGGCTATATTTAATATCGATTAATCGACATGAATAATACCCGATTCACTAATAAAAAACTATGTAAAATATAGGATTTATATAAATAAATTTTCTCAAATGCAGCTAGAACGAATTGTCTGTTCTTTTTTTAATGTTGTTAACATACTTTTGTTTAGCCTAATTTAACGTGGTGAAACGAAGTATTCCTAAACATATTATAGTATTTTGTCATATTTCTAGTTTTTTTCTCCAAACTGTATCTCCATGAATACATTTAATAATTTATCTTTTATTATTTCGTAACACCCAAACGTTTTTTTTTTTAATCCCTAATATTCTCATTTCCCTGGGACATATACAAACATATGAAGAACTGTTCCCGGCATTCGGCAATTGGGCGTAGAATAAGGATGTAATGTTGCATAATAAAAATAAGATCCCCCCTTTATGTTTCCTGATTGCTCAAAGTGCGTCGCATTGTCGTAAGTAGGTACAACATATAGGTTTTAAGATTCGTCACACTTTGACTTTATTTATGTAAATCAGATCGGGGGAAGGGATTGTTAGTAATAGGGGTTAGTGGTCACATTACTAGCAATAGATCTATCAAGTCGACCTCCACGCGATCCCCCTAGAAATCATCTCAAGAATCATCATTAAGAATTAACTTAATAATTCGAAATCTGACCTATTTTCATCCTTACTCACCTGTCATCCCACAGTGATGTCCCGCCACCCTATGCCGATAAAGCAGGCGGGGTGACCATATCATTCATTAAAAAATACCTCAGATCGATCGAAACAGTACTGTTTTATAATATACTCTCACGCGTTACTATTATCATTTATTTCAATATATTTAACCTAAATAACGAAGCATGGAAATAGGTTTCCAGGGTACTGTATTATTTTACCATATTTTATATTAAATATACATAAGTATTTAATGCCACATTGGATTATAATGATATTATCAGTATTTTTCCTGTTGTATCTATTGAAGTAAAGGTTATTAATATATTAGTAATGAAGACAAATGAAATACAAAATGTAACACCTTTCGTTTATATAGACACTAGCTTTTATCTACTTGATAGGGTTGAAAATTATCCTCTCCTTAATCTCCTTAACATCCCAAACAATACGTATATACTAAATTTCATGATGATCGGACGGCTCACCAAGCCGTTATGACACTGAAAGGTAACAAACAAACAAACTCACTTTTATATTTATAATATTACAAACTTTTGCTGGGATATGTTTACTGACTGGGATAAAAATTAGCTTCCTTTTCAACCTCATGTAGTATGTGATAACTTACTAAATTTTTTAGTGATTGTTTTAGCGTTTAAAAAACAAACTTCAATACAATAAAATAGAAATAATTTTTGTTCAAATAGACTTGTTTACAAGCTCTTTTAAATCGTAATTTTTTTTACTTTTTCGTATTTTTTTTTTCTACTGCCGGGTTCGGGAAGTTGTTATTCGCTAACAAAACCCCGTAATAAATTAAATAGTGATTTTTTCAATTTGTTTATGTATGAGATACTTTTACATTTGTGTGGGCACCTCAAAATACACAGAAAATAAGCTACTAGGAAACATGATGGGGTAGGAGCACTACTAAAAGCAAGCAATGCTTGTGTGTATAGGTCACTCGCTACTCGCTCATCACGTACACGCCGCGTTGGAATAATCTGGTTTATACTGGCTCGTGTAGTGCTGCAAATCGAGCACTGTACAGTGTGGCCGTGTGGTCCCTGTATAGACTGGGCCACCCCTTTCTTTCCCGTGGGTATCGTAAGATAATTTAATGGTCGAGGGATAAGCAGCAACGTTCCTCTTAAAATATCACCGCTTTGGTGATATTGTTACTGGTGATGATATTGCGATTGCCAACCCGCCAACTAAGCGAAGCAACTACTAACAAAGCTCCTCAAGGGAGAGATCTATGTTCAGAAATGGACAGTTGATAGCTGATGTGATGACAATACAATGTGCAAGAACAGTAACAAATATAATTATGGCTTTCTTTAATTTTATCCTAAAGACTTCATATTACATATTATATAATTATCAAGTTAAGTTTTTAGGATTAAATTTATTATAATATTACAATATATTGCAAGTCTGTTTAAATCGCGAAAACACAACACAAATTTACTATGTAGATGTACTTATCTACCTACGCTTGTGTGTTGTATACCGTTGATGTCTAGTTTCTCTACTATTTAGTAGATTTATTTTTAATTCATTACATAAATAGACATAATCGTAGATGTAGATTTAGACTTGAACTTAGATCAGTATTTTGTATTAGTTATGTAGTAGTTGTTCTTAGTTTACACTGGCTAGCGCTATGTAATATAATCATCGTATCAGTCGTTATCTGTCCATTGCTAAACATAGGCCTTATTCATAAAAAAATAAAATTTCTACGTAGTTTAATTCTAGTATTACACATTTCCAAATTTTCATTAAAACCAGGTAATACTATAACAAACGAACGAACAAAATGCCATATATTGTGAACTTTATTCATTTAATTATTGTTATTCATAAAAATGACAAATCTCTCAAAAACCAATTTTAGGTATTAAAACTGTTGTCTCTTTCTTTTGAGTTAAATTTTCAGTTTTTATAAACGTGACAAAAATGTAAATTAAAGTGGATATGTAGGAGGTTTTAGTTTTTACGAATAAAAGTGTAAATGTCTAACATTGCAACATTTATGTTATAGTATTATAAATGATAAGTTTATTACGAAATAGTTTGATTTAAGATTTTGTTTCCCAAAAACTACAATTCCCATCGTAAATAACATAAACCCTCTCGATTGCTAAAATAATTATCAAAATGTGTGCACAAATGGCGATGATAACTCGTAATACAAATACAAAAAATATAAACAAATTGTATTTTTCGAAATATGTGATTTCTTAACATTATTTTTTTTTTTCATTTTTCAGAGATTTCCTATTAGACGAAGCGAACGGCCTCCTGCCCGAAGACAAATTAACGATATTCTGTGAAGTGTCAGTAGTCGCGGACAGCATCAATATTAGCGGACAAAGCAATGTAATGCAGTTTAAAGTACCAGAATGCAGACTCTCTGACGACTTAGGAGCTCTCTTCGACAATGAAAGGTTTTCAGATGTCACACTAGCAGTCGGAGGCAGGGAATTCCAAGCACATAAAGCTATTTTAGCAGGTAGATATTTACTTCTATATATACTTATTTATCAGCAATGTTTGTTTAACTTATTACGTTGAAACAAACGTGACCATATCATAATCAGTTATTATAACAACACACGTTTGCTATGATGATTCTAAATTAAATAAATCGGGTCCATTTCAATTTATCCAGTATAATAGTTTAAGTGTAACATTATATAATGTTCCATTAAAATATATTAGGTAATAACTTAAAAAATAAACATGAATAATTACTATATATTTTATTGAATATTACACGAGAGGAAAATATAAATAACACATATTTTATACCTACCTATTATGTTTTCATTATTTAAACGGGCGAACGATACCGCAGAGTAATTATTATTGATGTATAAATTATATATTAAATATTATCAGTTATAAACCTACTGTTTATTTCCCTGTATTAATAAAAAGGGGAATAATTTTACAGCGGTAGTAGGTAGGTAGTTACCAAAGAATATGTATGTTTTTCATTCGCATCATTTTACACGAGCACCTGCAGTGCGCAGTTATTTAAAAAATTATAACTCCGTAATTAATCTACGATTATATATTGTAAACGACTTTTATTCCGATCCGATATGAAAACTTTCAAAATCATAAATAACTACAAACAACTGTCTTACTTAGTCGTTTTCTATTCTCAACATCTATATTTTTCGATTCTTATAATGAGATTCGAATAACATTTCGTATTATTAATAGGACTTCTGTGTACGAATTACGAATTTATTGGAGATTTATTAATGCTTGTTGGATCTTCCTAAGACACGTTCAATATTGATACATTTCTGTATTTATAGCAATCACATTGGCTAGTATCATCTCGTGGTTAAATTATAGGAAACAAATTATTCGTACCTAATTATAATTTATCTTTAATCACGCATAAGATTACAAAAAAAAATATTTTACACGTGCAGACTTCGACCCTTCATAGTAAAGCATAAGTAAAAAAACAAATATTCATGGTTTCATGTACCTAACTAAACTGTAACTACTTATTAGGTATCTTCCGTGTAATATCTATTGAGATAACATTGATAGTTTATCTTATTAGCTTGACAAATAAATATTTACACCAACGTTATTTCTCTTTTATACATACTATTTGGCCAAAACAATACGCAATATATGAAATACATATATTGAAACGTATGTCTTTTAAATATTTGGTGATATAATTATTATAATTAATATTGTAACATAATTTTATATTAAATCACATTAAATATAATACTGTAAACATACAAGTATCCTACATGATGTAACAAAGAGAATAGAGAATAGTTATCCGAAATCCATGGATAATATTAATGAAATGTTTCCTAAGGCAAATTTAAGGTTGGATTATAACGTTTAAAATTGTGTTCCACAAAAAATAACCGACTTCAATTGTGACAAAATCCGTTACTTTAATTTTAAAATAAAAGTACTTACCCGATTTTTATAAAATTTCTATGTAACTAATCTGTAAGTATTCCTTTCAGAGAAAAATAATTTTCCATATCGGTTTTCAACTGACGGAGTTACTAGGTTATAAACGTAAAAAAAGAAATATGATCGGATTGAGATCCACTCTGTTTGAAATCGATTGAAAAAAAAAAAACAGTAGAATTTGGACTCAGTACCTAAAGGATTCTACTATAGCAACTATTATTACTGACACTCAATATGCAATGAGAGTAAATAGCAGATATTGCCTACAATGTATTAGAACTATAAACATTCAATGACTTAAAAAATAAATGGCTAAAATGTAGTGTTTTTAGTATTTTGAATTCTCCTAATTGATAATTACATTTGGCAACAGCTACACCTACTATCAATAGTGTATGTAATTAGAAAGTTAAAGCATAGGAACTGGAGAGATAGTGCTGTTTAGACATTTCAATTTCAAGACGGAATAACATCTAGGCAATTAGAAAGTTTAGCTATTGAAGGTTGGGCAATCTGCTTCTTAGTCAATTGGTGTAATATGTATGATTACAGCACTGGCATCTATTATTTCAAGTATCTTATTGCATAACGCAAGAAAATTATCCTTAATACAACACACACTGTCACATGAGTAATTGACTTTGTATTTTAAACAAAAGAGATTTATTTCTTATAAGAATATAATTATTCACTTAAATGAGATTACAATTAAAACTAATTATATTATCATATTGTAACCAGTAGCAAATAAATGGCGGTGTAAGAAAGTATAAATCTGTTAAAAGGATTTGTTTAGTTTCATAAATTTTAATTACTGGATATTAAAATCTTTATACACTTTACGTTACAACCTTTGTAGGTATAGAAATCTACGAAAATCAAACCGTATACGATAAGAGGACGTTTTGTCTATTAATATGATTATAAATTTACGAGTATATAACTAGTATTAATCTCTTATATTACTGCATTACGAGGTCTGTCCGGAAAGTTCGTATAAAAGTGTTCTGGAATGCGAGAAAGAGGAGTGGGGAGGCCAGGTAAGCGCAGGACCCCTTCCTTATGTCCCTAACAATGCTTCAGTTCTGGTCTGACCGCCGTGCGGTGCGAACTGGCTTGTCACGCCATCTGTGAAGTTACCTCTTAACGAAACCCCGTCGGCATGGAGCCCGCTTCCGTTGAAGAGCAGCGCGTCGTAATCAAGTTTCTCTCGAAACTCGGCAAGAATGGCCGTGAAATTTTTGCCGATCTCAGAACAGTTTATGGGGATGATGCTGTGAAGGAACCAACCGTCCACAAGTGGCTAAAAAGATTCAGAGAGGGCCGAGAAAGCGTTCAAGATGACCCACGTTCAGGACGTCCTTCCACTTCACATTCCGACGAAAACGTGGAAAGACAGTTGATGGAAAATTCTACGTCGATGTGCTCAGACGCCTCAAAGCTCGTGTGGCACGAGTTCGTCCAGAATTGGCGCGAGAGGGGCGTTGGATTCTTCACCACGACAATGCCCCTGCCCACACCTCTCTTGTTGTCCGTGAGTTTTTGAGTAAAAATTCCATTACGGTGACCGAACACCCCCCCTATTCGCCGGATTTGGCCCCGTGTGACTTCTTCTTGTTCCCAAAAACCAAATTGGTACTTCGGGGGCGGCATTTGGGGGACATAAATGAGATAAAAAAAGCTACGACGGGGCAGCTGAGAAACCTACAACCAGAGGACTTTCAAGGAGCCTTCTCACAGTGGAAACGGCGTTGGCACAAGTGCATTATGTCACAGGGGGAGTACTTTGAAGGGGATAAAATTGATTTACCTGAATAATTGTAAAATAAAAATAAAAATTTTAAAAAACTTTTATACGTACTTTCCGGACAAACCTCGTATAGTTAAAGTTTTTGTTCCACTTGCTATCTTGAAAAATTTATACTGAAGAGAGCTTGTGTTTAAAAGAAGAATCATCAAAACCGGATCACAATTAAAATTTTTGTGTAAATTACATAAAAAATTCAGAAATTTCCCTTTTATGTCCGATAAAAAGTTGGTATTCTTTTGTATTGTAAGAAGATATTTTTTTGTTCTGGAAGAGGTCTTAATATATATACCTTAATTTACGTGTGCCTATTAATAATTTTACTGTTTTGCTCTATTTCAGCGCGGAGTCCTGTTTTCGCGGCCATGTTTGAACACGAAATGGAGGAGCGCAAGCGCAATCGGGTGGACATCACTGACGTAGACCATGAAGTATTACGAGAAATGCTGCGCTTTATTTACACTGGCCGCGCGCCTAACCTCGACAAAATGGCTGATGATTTACTAGCTGCAGCGGATAAGGTATGCATATGTTCTATCTATATTTACGTCAGGGGGGTTAAAATAGCAAATTCACTCGAATATTGTGATTTGTTCGCATAGATAATCGTATATTATAATCCTGAGGTAATACTACAACCCACATAGTACAGTTTTGTCAACCGAGTTATAATAAATAAAATAATGTTAATATAATGATTAGATGATTCTGTCATAATTAGTCGTAATTTCATACTTGTGTATAGGGTTGAATGACGAGATATGGCAGTAAAATAACTGGGTTCTGCACCCACAGACGGCACCGTGGAGACACATCTTAGTCTTCAGAGGCGGCAAAGAACGAGGGATACCATGAATATCATGCCATTTTATGTTGCATAAAAAAACGTAAGGTGGTGTTTTGCACTGTTCAGGTCTTTTAATCTATTAGCAGTGGAAATCAAATGCGATACGCCTCTATCTTCTATTTTATACGGAATAAATGGCATTGACGAATGTAAATAATGAAACATTATGATCTCTCGTCATCTTTATGCTTATTTAATTGTTTATTGTCACTTTACATACATTATTTTACAATTATATATTGTAGATGATAAAATTAATAAATAGAATGGTATTCATAGCAGTAATTTCAAAATTTTCTTTTTAACTGTCCCTCATTTACATAATATTTATAGTGCCTTCTCCACATAATTTCAGCGACAAAGATCAATGCATATTATGTAGATCTTCAGAAGGGCTTATATAATTCTACTTAAAAGATACTACTGTCTTTTTATACTAAGTTAATCTCTTATTAAAGAGTGAATATCATTTTACGTAAATTATCATTGAAATGGGTTTGCAATTCAATTAATCGCGAAAGTATAACATATAAATTCACTTTCTAATGTTCTTTCATATGTCTCATAACAACATAAACGAATGGATATGGTCCATCCACCATATATAAATTGGCAATCCTAAAGCTGTAAATGTGAAAGTTAGTTTATTACTACCTTTTGGTGCCCTAATGGCTCAATCGATTGCCATGAAGTTTAAATTAGCAGTATGTATTTATATGAGAAAGAGACAGACACAGTCTATTTTTTCCCCGATCAATCAAAATATCCCGGCCACGCGGTTAAAGTCACAATAAAATTTAATATGATTATTTAAAATTAAATAAATTCTGTTTGTCTTTAATGAGTCTTCTTATTATATATTATTCTTAAATTTGTTTTTAATAGTTAATTTTCTTTTAATTTCAGTACGCGCTGGACCGATTAAAAGTAATGTGTGAAGAAGCGCTTTGCTTGAGCCTATCAGTTGAGACGGCGGCAGATACACTCATATTGGCAGACCTTCACTCAGCAGATCAGCTCAAGGCACAGACGATCGATTTTATCAATACGTAAGTAGCAATTAAATTTATATTTTGTGTTTCAAGATTACATATATTACAATTATCAATGTTATTATACACAGAAAAATTGAAATAACATTTCAATGTTTCGATGTTTATATATTTCTTAATAAACCACAAAGGTGTCCAATTGTAATGGAATTATAGGAACACATTTTTTGTTATTTTTCGATAATTGTTCTTATTTCTTTAAGCGTAAATGAAAACAAAATAATTTTAATTATTAATCATCTAATATATTATTTCATTTTTCCAAAATTTTAAATCGTTATATGACTGGAATTAGACTTACTGTTCTAGATATCTATAACAAAATTTGCATATTAACTGTATTGAGTATTAACTGTACATTATGATATACACATGGATGAAAAGTTAACCTGTTTTTGGCGAAACATTAACTAAAAAATAACAAGAAATATTTCGGTTTTAAGGGTAGTAGTTTAGAATAATTGATTATTAGGCCATAACACTGGTTCTCTTGTATGAATTGGTAATGCACATGTGGTAGCATGGATGTCAGAATCTGTTCTGTGATACCCATGATGCTGCTCATGTCGACAAGCGATGGTCACTATTACAATCCATTCCAACGGGTTAACTGCAGCAAGTTGCATAAAGAAAATGTGTATATTTAAATGTATATAAATGTACTTATCTCGAGTACGCACTGATAAAGAATTAAACCGGTGGTTAAAAAAACATAAGATTTTGCACAACAGTTTCTTCAATGATCTTCTTTGCTTATAGATTGAGGAACTCAACTAGCTATTATTTATATTACATACTAGCGATCCTCCTCGATTTCCCACAAACGGTAGATAGATTGAAAGATAAATCGGTATTTTATTTTTAATAGGTAGTTTTTTAATATTTTCAATTACATTAATGTAATTTCTGCAGCAATTATAATTTTTTTAAGAAAATAAATTTTACTTCCTATAGGTGAAAAAACGTTTAAAATAGGTTGGGTAATTTTTTATTTTATCCATTATAAGCAAACAAATGATTGCTGTTTATAATATTCATGTAGATAATTTCTTATGGCAATATTAATGAGCATGTGCACCATTTTCATTTCAGGAGCCACGCGACGGACGTCATGGACACAGCGGGTTGGAAGAATATGATCTCGTCCCACCCGCACCTGATCGCGGAGGCTTTCCGCGCGCTTGCCACCCAGCAGCAACAGATCCCGCCCATCGGCCCGCCGCGCAAACGCGTGAAGCAAGCCTAGTGCCCAGGCGAGTCGCACGAGTCGCCCGCTACCCGCCTCTATACCAAAGACACGCCACACGGCACACACATATTCGAATTCTACGTCGGCTGACCTACTGCGCGTATCTCCCCTCACCTATCGCCCGTATATTATTCTATTCTACGACAAGGCTGCAATCTGTAATATTATTGTTAGAGTTTACGTGTACCATAATCAGTGAGATTCGGAGTGAGAGTGGCCGGTGGGTGTGTTCGTATAATTAGTTGTGGATCCACGAATCCACCCTTTCGTTTACTATGATTGATCTCAAGACGATATTCGATCCTAATGTTTTTATTTTGTCTCTCGCGGTCGTTTTATGCACCGCATTTAATGTAAAGATGATACGCTGGACGCTTTTTGCGCGTTGATGTAGTTTTGGAAAATAGGCTTGGAATTTAATATTTTATGTATGTCGTTTTTGTGGACATTCTCTTGCAGTTATGTTTAATTGTAAATTATTACTATGTATTAAATATGAAGCTCATGTCTACAAGATGTTATCCATGTCATGCAATTAAATACATGATTGTTATAAATTGGCTAACATAATGATATAAGTCATAAAGGATATTGTGATGCTAAAATTTGAATTATTTGAAGTCATTGTATGCCAGAGTGCAATGTTTATATGGATATTATTGGTGTTTCTCATTACCATAGAAATCGATCGGTTTATTTCAACGATTCTTGTTAGAGGTTTAAAGGTAGCCCTTTTGGACATATTTCAAAGTAGTTACAGTAAGCGAACGCAATAAAACTGTGTATTGTATGAAACATTGTTTTGAACAAACTGTTGCCAAATGAATCGCGCGTACTCAAAATCACAACTGGAGACTAATTGCATTTGGGAGCATTGTGTCCAAAGCAGTGATACATTTAGAAGTTGTAGGTGACTCGAGTGATTGTAATAAGTCTATTGAACTTGTTGGTAATTGTATATAGATGAGCTACGATCCCACCATTAAAATATTTCTAAGTAATAAATCATAAGTTGTATCACAGATGACAACCATTCATTTTTTTATCGTATTCTAGGACATTATTCCAATGGCATATTGTGATGATTTTTTTTTCAATTTCCATAGGTTATACACATGCTTTGTTTTGTTTTCATATGTAAATAACCGAGATATTTTTAAATTAAACATTAAGTTGTCGTTGGTTTCGCTTTGTCGATTGTAAATTGCATCTATACTTTGTCCAACGCGACGTTATAATTCGCCGTTCATTATTGCTCACTTGAAAAATAAGTTTGATGATAAATTATCACAAAAAAGAAATCTTTTTTAATGTCTATTATTTTCCACTTTCAATGGATTTTTACTGTATTTTTCGTTTTACGAAAAATTATTCAGTTAACATACTTTTATATCCTTTTATTAGTAGGTATGTAAAAATTACCCAATATCGAATAAATTGTACTGTGGCCAATAAATATTAATGTTTAATAAATAAAATTTTGTACCCATTTCCCATTTAAATAGTTGACAACTGTTATTGTCATAAATAGCTACAAAACAGTTGTCAAAAATAACTGTGATTTTCGAAAATTGTCAGTAAGTTGAGCAAATAAACGAAGTGATGTAATAAAATGACTATAATTTACTTTCTGTAGATTTTGATTTCTCTGCTTTGTTTTGAAAATACTAACATAAGATATCACATCAATTAATTACCTACTTTACAGACTTAACCATTTTTTTTTATAGGTGATAATGAAATAGTAACCCTACCCGCGCTATCGGTGTACACCGGTGGGGCACCAGTGAAGGATGATAGGAGAGGATGAAGCAGATCAGTTAGCCCATCGTGACGAATTCGATGAGAATTGTTCACGATGGTTTCCAGGGGGAACCACATGGAGGTTGACCTAATAGGGCATATTGCTAGCAATGGAGCTGACAAACTCCATTACTGCCCCCCCCCCCCCTCCCAACTTAGCCATTTATAGTGTTTCAATAGACTATTGAAAAGATAATCAAGGTTTGTTGATAATAAAATTACAGATAGAAACAATTGACTATTGATTTGTATTACTATTATTAATCGCTAATATGATGATGATAATGATTTGCGAGGAAAATCAAATAAACTAGCAATTTTAGATTCTATCCAGTTGACTATAAAACCAATTGGTTGCGATAATCGAAAATTTGCTGAACAATAATTTCTGTACATAAGTAACACCACAGAACAAATATCACAGGAACTAACGAAATGTTACAAAAATATTAAAAATGAAGGTATTTGGTTGGTTACACCGTGTGTTCTCCGGCATAGAATAGACCACCCCTTCCTATTCAGTGGGTGTCGTAAGAGGCGACTAAAGGAGGGTGACGGATGGGCAGCAGCATCCCTCTTAAAACAACTCTAAGAACCAAACTGTGGTTGCCAATCCGCCTGCTAAGTGTGGCAACTACTGGCAAAACTTATGGGGAAGGCTTGTGTTCAGCAGTGGACAGTTAACGGCTGTAATATTAATAATAACAATTCCAAAATAAACCTATTATTACAAAGAAGATATATTTACATCAAAAATGTCAAAAATAATCTGTTGAAATATTATAAAAACTTACATTTGGAGCATATGACGCAAAAAAAAGATGCTTAGGCATTCAAAATATTCAGATGGAGAAGAATGGAAAGAATAAGCGTACAGAAAAAGTAACGGACGTGTAAGTCTTAAAAAGGGTTGAATGAGAAAAACACATTAATAAAAACTACAGAGACTAGAAAAGGAAAATACTGGATCATTTTATACGACCCGACTATTTTTAAGAGGATAGAAATTAAGAGAAACAGGTTGATAATAAAAATGGTTGATATTGTAATTCTCTTTTAATACATATTCATCTGTACAAAAATATAGACTGCATGACAGAATTGTAAAACATAAGACAATAAATAACTACATGGGACAGGCAAAGGAAACACTAGATATCATGCCGTATAGGGAGGATAAAGATATGGCCTGAATAAAGCTGGCTAGGAGAAAATGCATGAATTAAATGCACCAATAAGAGGAAACTTAAATGAAAAGAGAGAGTAATCCTATGTAAACTGTAATGTTTGCCAGCGTTTTTTACTATTATAAGAAGCTTGCTGCTTCGTGCTTGCTTTATTACCTGTTTAAGCTATAATATAAACCTACCCGTGTAATAAGTTTCATTTAAATTAGTTAAGCCGTTTAAATGTGATTAAGTATTTACACAAATATTTTAATAGTTTTTTTAACTTATAATGTAAGTAGGACACATTATAAGTGCTATTTTATTCAATCATTATGATCATCGTTTAAGAAACAAACATAAAAGTTAAAACTATTCTGATAAATGATTAAGGATGGATAGTTGCATACTTATACCTCCAAGAGATATTGATTTCAGTTTTCTAGGTTTTTCATATACGTAAATATATTAACGATAAAAGACGGTGAAACTACTTATAAATGTGCTTGAATTTGTTTGATACATAATTATATACTCTTCTGACCGTTTACGATACCTTAACAGTTCACTTTTGTTAACCATCGATAATTTTAAAATTGACAATTGTGACATATTTGACATTGACAATTTATCATGTTTTGTCAATGTCATTACGTTAAACTCATACGTCAAACGTTTAAAATCTTAATCGCCTATTTTAATTTCACTTTTTTTCGCGCCTTCTATTTTATTTTTATTTTGTTTACTGTTTTCTTTACAGCTTTTTTTGTTTGTTAAATTGATTGACAATAAAATATCCTAAATTCAATTGGTGTAAATATGGCCAGTGGGTTTCCATTGCGATTTCCTTGCAAATCCATAATAGGTGAGTTCTGAAATTTAATAATCTCTTGCGATAGTTGCAATTGAATTGTGATTTAGCATTCAAATTTATTTTCGTAAATTAACGGGACATTACACGTATTGGTTAGCATTTATCATGCCTGGTTAATTTGTGTCTATCATGCAATCACTGATATATATAAAAATTATTTTGAATAGATTATGTATAGTCCTTATTATTTTATATTTGCTATTTATATGGTTTTCTAATAACATGAAAAGTACTAGCGAATAACTTAAAAGTAAATAATATTATGGGTGTCGTAAGAGGTGACTAGTGAAATGGTTAAGGAATGAGCAGTAGTATCCTTCTTAAAACATCATCAAAACGTAACTGTGATAACCTGCCTGCAGAATTGTGGTAATTACTAGCAAACCCGTTCAAAAAGAAGAGGTCCAGGTTCAACAGTAAACATTTAATGACTGGTATGATGATGATGAACTAGAATTGACCCCTATCATCTACTAGGGAAATGGTATTCTTGCCTACAGTTATTTTTAAATTCAACCTACTTTAGGAGTCCTTCTATGTAATTTTAAATATGTCATTTTGAAATCTATTTTTGTTTCCAGTCATTTATTGACAAATCTGTTTTTCTGACCTAACCAATATGACCAACCACATTAACACATTTTGTTGGAAACTCTTTGGACTCTCTTTCACTCGATTGGTATTGTTTAAACTCTGTGAATCAGTGCTCTACTGTATGAATTAGTACTGGCATCGGTGTTATAAATTTTTTTGTGTGGCCATAGTCTGTGAGTCCCTAAAAATTAAGTAATGAGTTGTGATTTTGTTTGTTTTTTTTATTTGTATCAAAGACACTTCATGAAGAAACCCCCATGTAATTAGTTTAATTACAAAAAAACCATATGGCAGAATAAAGAAAATGCTATCAATGATATAAAAACCAAAAATGTAGACACAACATGGTGCATTTTGGCTAGTGTTTTGACAGTTCTTATTCATCTTTATATTAATATTTCAAGGCTTAATAAATGTTGATTTGAACTTTGTAATAAATAAGAAAGCCATAAAATGAAACCCACCCAATACACAGAAAATGAAAATTACAACTACAGTGCCTTTCCTACTCTCGGGTAAGGTATTTTACTTAGAATGGATACACATAATATTTTTATTACTATTTTATAGAAAATCCTGATGAAAATACAAATCTTTCAAGTAGGAGAGGTCTTAGAAATAGGAAGAAACCAAAGAAATATGGAGAATTTTTGGACTTATCACCTACAAAGCATAGAACATTGATTGATGTTGAAAGCTCGGATGAAGAGGAAGAAGAGTTGGAAAAAGAATTTTGTTTACAGAAACCTACAGGTTTGTCAGTTATAATAATAAATATGATCAATATTTGTTTTGAATATTTAAATTGGAATTTTTTCCCTCTGTTTATCTATTCTTTCATGTTGGTTTCTCACTTTGACTTTAATACTTGAATGTGCCACATATTAGCTGTTATATATACTACTTAAAATTGGGCTTGCCTTTGCATGGGTAGATAGAAATTTTAAAAATAACATGAATCCTCTGTTACCACTGATAATATATTTTTCTATAGATAAAATAATTTTTAAAATCAGTTGAGTAGTTTTTGAGTTTAGCCAATATGGACAAAGAAATAATCAAATCCTTCTTCTTTATAATATTAGTATAGATTCATACTATAAGATATTTGGGGCATATATAAGAACTTTGAATTGAAAAAACAAAATTTGAACAATGTTGTTTACTGGAATCCAAAATTAAGCTTAAAATATAACATTTAGTAATGTTAATAAACTATCTTAATAATTACAGCATTATTCAGTGATGATGATGTGGAGGGTCAAGATATATTTAAATTTAAATCTCGTCACACTAAGCAAGATTTACACAACAAAGTTAAAGCAGCTATAAGTAATTCACCAAAAGTAGACACCCCTACAAAGACACCAAAGAAAAATATTGTTTCAAGGACATTGAACAGTCCTTTTGGCAAAAATAATGAAGCAACACCAAAACATGTAAAGGATCTTATAAAAAAAAGTAAGAACTTATACTATACTTGTATGCTATATTATATTTCATCGAGGTTCATAATTTTCCTCATAAAATACAATATAGAACATTTAAATTATTGAGCCTAAAGAATTTTAAAAGGCCAATAATACAATAGCAACCTCCCTTATGTTATAAGTGTTCATGGTCGTCAGTAGCCACTTCCCATCAGGTGGATAATTACGTCAATCAGTAATAAAAAAATTGTAAACATTGTTGTTATATTATAATAGAGAATAAAACAATGTCTAATTTTTTTTATCATATGTATAATAATTATCTTTGAGTTATATAATACTAAAAATGTATCATAATATATTATAGGTAGTGGTTGAATCTAGTTTTAGGTATATTTACGCTATGCCTATTAATATTGCCGTTTATCTAATTAATTATACTAGTGCATTCCTGTCATGAATGTAAAAAAAGATAAAGCTCCATATCTTAAATTTTACATACAACAAAATCTAATTGTACTGATTGAATTTTACTTTTAGGGATCATTCAAGAAGTCGAAAGTGATAGCGATAACAGTGACTTCTCTGCCAGCAGTAGTGATTTTGTGCCGGAAGGAAGTGACAATGAGGTATATCATAAAATTTAGAATATTAGTTGCAGTATAATTAGATAGATATGATTTTTGTAACATCCACAATTTTATTTTTTGGCGATTGCATAAACGCTGCGTTTCTATTTAGTGATTTGATTGCTGTGGTGAAGTAAGGTGATTTGGGTTTTAATCTGTTACATGTTTCATTTTTCAACAAGTAAGTACAACTATCGCCTGACAAGGTGGAGTAAGTACTATGAATACGAGACGGTGTTATTGTTATTAGCAGTAGTATAGTTACATTTTATTGTACTAATATTGTAAATGTCAAAATTTGTTAAGATGTTTGTTATTCAATTAAGTTTAAATGGCTGAACAGATATGTATTATATTCTGTACATGGGTAGACATATCCTAGATAAGGATAATCCTATTATCCTTATCCTGATTTAAACTGGCAAAGTTGCAGCATACAGCCAATTATAAATAATTTTATTAACATTTGTTATTATATTTGTACTAATATTTATAACAGCATCCATGCCATCATCTATACATACATTAGAATTTACTTATTTTTATAATCAATGTCTGTAATTTTTTTTCTAATACATAGAATGGCAAACAAGCTAACAGCTCACCTGATGGAAAGTGGTGACCATCGCCTATAGACTTAAGAGTACTATGATTTACTAGTGACTACAATTACTGAATATACTGTGATTCCCGTGGTACTCCTTGTGCATTACTATTCCTGAGGACTGTGTTATGTCTGTTTACCCATTTTGACAAAATACTCGAATAAATTCTAATGAAATTTAATACTTTAGTACTTATTAGCCCAACACAATCTGGCGAATATTTTATCAGAATTGGTTGAGTTGATCAAGAGATACAGCTCTTTCTGTGTGCGTAGAAATACGTACGCGTAATACGTATGTACACGTAGATTTTTGGATAGTCATATTTATGAAAAAATCTCATAGGTGGTGTTAATATCAATTAATAGCTGATGTTGTATTAAGTTTGACAATCAAGTAGTATATACTAAATTTATTCAGTCATAAGTAGATTTATTAAATAATGATAATTCATTTATTATCTGTAGTCATCGGAGTCGTCATCATCAAGTCGCACATCCGAAGAGGAGGAGGAGGAACAAATTAAATACACTAATAAACTGCAAATAGTAAAAAATAAAGGAAATAAAGGCAAAGTGAAAGATTCTGAATATGTTGTGACACCGGACAATTACTTTATGATGCATTCAAGCAAAAAAGTTAGTTGAATTTTTTTATTAATAGATTAATACTGTGTCTATAATTTTTAGGCTTCTGCACCAAGAAAGTACAAAATAATCCTTATGTTTATACTACTAAGAATGCCAAACAAGACGAGCCCTTTAAAAGAAAATGGTATCGTTATTGTTAACATGAACAAATTATAATAATATTATTAAATTTGAAATATAGTTTAGATTACTGTATAAATGGGATGTGAATGAACAGACAATCCCAAGGGATGTGCAACATTTTTTTAATAAAACACATTATATACCCATATTTCATAACAATTTCATAAGCCGTGTGGTCCCGCCATAGAATAGGCTACCCCTTCCTTTCCTGTGGATGTCGTAACAGGCGACTAAGGCAGGGCGATGGATTGGCAGCAGCATCCCTCTTAAAACATCTCCAAAGTTTATCTGCGGTTGCCAATCCGCCTGCCAAGGGTGGCAATGGCTTATGTTCAGCACTGGACAGTTAAAGGCTGATATGATGATTTCATAACAACAGGTACCTAGAGTACTTACAAACTATTTTTAGTCCCACATTTAATTGGTTAATTGGAGTAAACTTTGGGGTCGATTCTGAAGCGCTATTTCTCTAAAACTATTTACAAAATTAAAATTTCAATTTGAAGCCATAGCAAAATCTTTGTTCTGAGGATCAATATGAACTAAATTTCTAATAGTTTTAGGTTAAAATGATTGTAAATTTTGTTTATAATGGTCTAAAAAGCAGTAATTTCGCTAAACTATGAGATGAAAATATCTCTTTACCTAAAATATAAAATAGATTTAGAGAAATGGAGCCTCATAATGACACTATTGACTCATTTTTTACTGTATTTTTAATGTCTTATTACTATAAAATATCATTATTATTAAAAGCATTGAAATATTACAGATCACAACTTCAGATCACACATTAGCGAGATTAAAGAATTTAAATCTTACTGAAAAAATAGATGAAGGCACAGAGATATCAGATGAACACAAAACTAAAATAATGGAGCTGAACCAGTCTTATGAGCAATTATTTCACAAATGGCTTTATGTGCTCAGTGAAAATTTTAATATAATACTGTATGGTATAGGTTCAAAACGTTCTGTCCTTCACCAGTTTCAAATGGAGAAACTTCAAGATTTTCCGTGTATTGTTATCAATGGATTTTTTCCAGGTCTTACAATAAAAAACGTAATTGAAACCATTATTATTGATCTATTAGGAAATAGTCACGTACCATCAAATGTTGGAGATATAGTTAAATTGATTAGTATGCAACTTATAGAAAATGATATTGATTTGTTCCTAATTATTCATAATATAGATGGAACGATGTTGCGTAATTCCAAAGCACAGACCATGTTGTCTAACATATCACAAATTAAAAATGTACATACTATTGCGACAATTGATCATATTAATGCACCATTATGTAAGTATTACTTTTAACTATTTCCTAGCAAAAAAAAAAAAAAAAAAATCAAAAGTAGTAAAGTGTAATAAGTGAGTTATTAAAGCACATAAAATGTATAATCTTGGCTATTGATGAATTCCGATCAATTACTCAAACTTTATTTATTAAAAATATTTTTATGATTCGATAGTCATGCATTGTATATATTATATATAAACTACATGTAAAAAGTAACTAGTGTTTTAATGCAAACTTATACTAGCTAATTCGGCAAACGTTTTGTCCTTAATCGCCACATCTTAGGTAGGTTTATTAATATAAAACGATTGCGCAAACAATACACATTTAGTAAATTTCTGAATGAATGGATTTCGTATGATTTCATATATTAAGAATACAGAACTGTAAATATATATATAAAGGCGGACTTATCCCTATTTTTATTACTCGGAGATGACAATAAGAAAATATATACGTCATTTTATTTTAGTGTGGGACCACTCGAAGTTGAGCAAATTCAAGTTTACCTGGTGGGATGTAACAACTTTCTTGCCATATACAGAGGAAACATCGTATGAAAACTCAATCATGTCGCATAGAAGCGGGGCGTTACAGTTGTCCTCTTTGCGAAGCGTGTACCAGTCGCTTACAACAAATGCTAAAGGCATATTCAACATAATTATTGGATATCAGTTAGAAAATCAGAAACAAGCACATTATCAAGGTAATTATTTAAAAAAACTAGCATTTACTCGTCACTTCTTCGCGTACCTGGGATATGTGGATTGACCGGGATAAATGCCCATGCCCTCTATTCCAAATACTGTGTACATGCCAAATTTCATGACGATTAGTTGAGCCGTTAAAGGCCCTAAGAGGTAACAAATAAACGCACATTTACATTTATAATATTAATATAAAGATTGGTATGGTATATGGTGATTTAAGTATCCAGCTGTTCGATGTTGGTAAACATCGTTAACAAGGGAGGAAAGAGAGGATAATTAAACTGTAATTAGTGGTTTTATTTCTAGGAAAAATGTTGCCATGTGTTCACGTCGACTCCAATCATTAGTATCATTAGGTTAAAAAAGCATAGGGTCTGTTTTTTAATTTGTAGGTTGTAATTTGATTCATATTATATGAACGAGGCGTTATATAATAGCAAGTAAGCGAATATTCCTTCTTCAGCTACTCTAATTTTTGTTTAATGACGCTACGAACAGTTATGAGTGTTAGTTTTTTTTTTTTTTGCATTTTACTTTAACGTAAAACTATTAATGTACATTTTTGATGTTCTAAGTCCTTAATATTTTACTTTAAATGGTTTAAATATGAATGGCGAACTATGAATGTTGGAATATATAATGTACAAAAGCAGTTTTCTTTCTCTATATTTTCTTTTTGTAGTTATTAGAGTTAAATATATCTTTGGTATGCGAATTTTAATTACACTCGACAGATTTAAGGTCTTGTTTAAAATCAATGACAAATAGTGTAGTCAGAATAGTTTGTTTCAATAGAATTTAATTAAAAGGTAACTAAGTTTTGTTGAAATTAGTTATAATTTTAACTAACCCTTAGTTACCTGTTAAGGTACTCTCTAAATGAAATTATTAATCTAAATATTCATACGATTCTTTATACTACCATTGGACATCAGACTGTCTCATGGTCGGATTCATTTGTTTACATTTTTATTAAATTCTAGCTAGATGAGAACCAAGCACGTTACTTTTTTCTTTTATTGTACGCTTCTATACACGTCATTTAATGGTAAAAATTGTATTTACGAAGTGTTACACAAAATAACAATGTTGTTAGTTTTCTCAAGTATACAATTTCTTTGGTTTTTGGGACCCTCGTTATTTTGTACTGTATCCTTTCTTATGTCGCTTTCACTCAGTATCGTATGGTTAGTGCCACTTCGTATCGCCCGCTTGCGTCCATTGTCTAGTTTCTCTCCTCTCTCTTGTATGTACATTTATTGTTTACAAATGGTATTATATTGTTTCAGGTTTGCCATTCAAGGACCTTTATTCAAAAAGTCGAGAACAGTTTCTAGTAAGTTCAGACCTGGCTTTGAGAGCTCAATTGACAGAGTTCATAGATCACAAATTAGTTAAAATCAAACGTACATGCGATGGAAGTGAGAATCTTGTTATACCAATTGAAAATTCTTTATTGCAACAATTTCTAGAACAAGATAGTTGATATAAACAATTACATATTTGTTTTTTTTATTTGTAAAGAGGCTGCTTATGTTCTCATAAAGCCATCATCATCATCGCCAAATAGGAAATGTCTGATTAATATTATAGAACTAATGTTTTACCTAAATTGGTGTATTAATAAAGAATATAGTTGTCTGCTAAATTAATTAAATATACACATCTGTTATAACTTATTACTTTTTATACATAAGATAGGAATACAGGATATCAAGTCTAGGTCAAAATTAATGTAGTCATTTATTTTCCTCGAGTGTTCAGAAATGAGAATGTTCTCTTTTAAATAAAACTATAAACTTATGTTTAGCTTTTATTTTACAATCCCAGAAATAAAGTCTTAATAGGATTATATAATATATATCAACAGGCCAAGTTGTAAATTACTTAAACTTAATGACTTACATAATATAATAAAATTATTAACTAAAATTATTTTCAACATATCTGGCACATTCACCATGATGCATCAACCAAACATTGATATTATTTTTATAAGTGCATAAATCGCTCTTTTAATTTAAAAAAGATTGTAGAAAAATACTCTCTGAACTCATGAAACTTCAAAGATTTGATCTAAAGTAATCGGATTATTTTATATAATACGCCCGTTGGAATTTTGTTAGAAAATATTTATGTATATTATCACTATTATCAGTTATCATTAGTGAGATTACAAAATTGTTTACAGCAAATTTCTACCAATTTTATGAGACAAATTTATTTGGTAGAAATATTTTACTCTGATGTGTAATAATAGTGTTCGCATATTCATATTATGAACAAAAATATTGCGAAAAAATGAAGATATATGTAATAATTGGCAAATTATTATGAAACACACAAAATGACAATAGTTGACTTTTATAGTATGTATAATATATTTTTGTTCATATCCATACATAATAAACATTGCCGCTTTAATACTAATTACACCACTTGTACTTTTTTAAATAAACACCCAATGTTCGACAAAAGGTTACTTTTTTTTAAATAATTTTCTAATAGGAAATTGACGTTTTTGTCATACATAATGATTAAATTTTGTCTTTATCAGTCTAATTTGGTCATCGAAAAACAGGCGGAGCTCACTTTCGAATTTATATTGTATTCCATGGGCATGAGAATATTAGTTCATGTTCATTCCACTTACAGCTAAGTAGATTTATAAATGAGAGCTATTTTATTTATACCTAAAATCATGCACTTTCATTTGTGATTAGAATAAAATTAAAAGCATGTCAATAGAATAAAAAAATATTATTACAATAAACAATTTAATCGAAACATTAACTTGTCGGACAACAAACTACAGATTTCACACAATAGACATCAACATTAATGATAGAAAACATTTCAAAATTTATTGTGTCACAAAGGATGTGTTAACACTAGATTGAAAGCTGGTGAGTTTAGCCTTGACGGGTTACGACAACAATCTCACAAATGACAACTAGTCTACGGGGATGACTGCCACGTACCGTGTTTGTGATCTGTGGCTTTACTACGACCCCGAAAATCCACAATTCTTTTGAGTGTGCCACCTATATTAACAGTTGTGTAAAGCACTCACTCATCGAATCGGAACATGGTGTGGATTTAAGCGATCATGGTACAGACCCAGGTTTATTGTCCGATGCATCGGAGCGCTGTACACTTACAAACTAGTAAGATAACTCCGCTTAAGGCAACTCTCAATTCTCTTCTTCATCCTCGTGTTTCCGCTTTTTACCCCGAGTACTTTCTTCGGGAACACCATCTGCATTCTCCTCACCATCTATAACGATATTAATTTAATATTAATTACTTTTTTTAATTAATTAAATAAAAATCCTACGGTAAGCCCATTATTGGAAAAAAAGAGAAGGGTGTCAAAAGGTTTCATACACTATAATATATATATATATATATATATATAATATTTTTTCTTGTGTTTGTGTTGTTTGCTTATTGTAGTGATAAATTAATAAGTTATTTAAATACAATATTTTTAATTGGAACCAATCAAATTACCTGGGACACACAGATATTCTTTTATAATGCGTAGTCATTAAGACAGTAGAAAATACCTTATAATACGAATGTGATATGAAGCATGCTAGTTTCCTTACCTGGCACCTTATTATTGTGGTCGCCGTCTGCATCATTCTCACCTTCACCATCTTCCTCATCTACATCCTCCTCTTCAGACACGTCACTGCCCTCATACATTGAGCTTGCAGAGCTCTCCTCTTCTAGAAGGTAATAAAATAAATATATTTAATGTTTGCCATAATGCAATAGTATTGAATTGTAGATAATAAATGACAACCGAGTGTTATTGCATGTTAATGTTCTAAGTTATGCAAGTTTATTTGAGTCCAAATAATCTACTCAGACAATGTATAGTGTCTTTGGAGGAGCATTCTCAGTCTGTCGCAGTTGTATATCCTCCGATAAACAACGTTAAAATTATTAGCATAATATCAAAATACAAAGCATCTATTGAGATAGTAGGCTCAAATCTAGGATCAAATACTACCTGCCTCAAATTTCTTTCAATTACAATAATTACTAGAATATGATTATTATTTTTAAATACATTGTAAAACTACTATATATAAGTAGAAGCACATCAGTAATTTATAAACTCACCCAAATTTTCATTGTAGACTGCGCTAAGTGAAATGTCCTCATCATCTTCTTCTTCCTCTACATCAGAACCTACAAAAGAAATAAATATTACATGTCACAAAGTGCCTTCTGGATTCAAATAACTGAGCAGTTTACTATACTTTTCAGTTTTTCAACCGATAACTGTCAACTGCTGAATATAAGTCTTCCTTACAAGAGGAGTTTTGTCAGTAGTTGCCACACTTGGCGGGCGGGCTGGCAATCGCATTACGGCGTTTAGAGATGTTTTAAGAGGAACGCTGCCGCGCATTCCTCTATTATTAAGTTCCTTTAGTCACCTCTTATGACACCCACGGGTAAGGAAGGGGTGGTCTATTCTATGTCGGGACCACATGGCCAGTTTATTATAATGTCGTTAAGACATTTTTAAGCAGAAAGAAATAGATGAGTCAAATTGCAGTAATTAGAATTTCTATGTTATAAGTTCATCAAGAAATTAAAGGTACAATATTCTTAACTGTGAATTAGTTTTACACAATTTATTATTAATCACCTACTATATTGTTTTTATTGATACAAAACATGAGTCTCTTATTAAGCATCAATGATAAAGAATGATGCTTACTTTTCAAAAGATACCCCATGTGGAATAGTACACCATAAACAGTGTACAACAACATTGGTAAAGAGGTTCTGCTTTCTGCTGGCCTTTCAGATATGCTATCATCATTTAACACCAATGGACCCAAATCTATGTCCAAATCTGTAAGCCAGTACAAATCTGTTACGAGCCCCATGATATATAATTATCAGTAACAATAAGCATGTGTTTAGCAATATACTTACGAATATAGCATGGCGTAAAAATATAGCACATTTTTAATGTTATGAAAGTAGTACATATATGCAATTTGAAACAAAAACATTCTATTGAAAGGTATTCACAAACTATTTTTCAATAGAAACTATAAAAAATATTTTTTTCATGATGAACAAATATTTTAGAAATGTGGAATCATAATCCATTATAAATTTGTTTTGATATGACAAATGTAAAACTAATATTTTAATAAAATCGAGTGGCTAGAGTAACACATGACAATATTCTATATATTTTGTGAATTAATCTTGTGATAGTAGATGGATATAGTTCGTGGAGTGAGTAAAGGATTAAGCAACACCCCAAATATTTACATATACTTACCATCTTCTTCACTGTCGTTATTTCCATTCATTTCATCTTCTTCCTCTGCATCACTATCTTCAGCCTCTCTATCTTCTTTATCAAATCTGCAATGTTACATATTATTAAAAGAATAAAAAACAGACACAATATTTTCATGAAAATAAAATTATTACAGGTTGCTAGCCTAACTTATTTCACTTCTATTATATTTTTTTGTAAATTCAAATACCAAATATTTTCAGGATTTGTATAACCAATTGCTATATGATTGGAATTAATTAAAAGAACAACTAGATTTTTAAGACAAAATTATCTGAGCTCACATCAATATAAATTTATATGTTTGCTTACTCTAATAATATTCTTAGTTCTTTTATCTATTTTTATATTTTATGATTATTATTATGCATTAAGTAATACTAATGATTATATTAAATATTTAAATAATTGAGGCTTAGGTGTATTAATCTTATTTGTTGATAACATTATCTTAGTTAATTTAATGAGTTTTAACTTACCCATCCAAATACTTTAATGATGGGTGTAATGCAAACACCTTACTCCTATAATCTTCAATACAGGTGACTTCATTGTTAAAAAGGTCAAGGTTTTTCAAATTTTCAAACTCTTCCAATGGCTTCAAAGTTTCTAAATCTTTGATTTTATTTCCTGATAGGTTCAAGTGTGTCAGCTTCTTACAACCGTTGAGGAAATTTAGACCATTTGAAATTCTGTTGTCAGAGAGTTCCAACTTCCTCAACTTGGGTAGTGATGGAAAACCTTTAAGTGTTGTGAGACCCACATTGTTGAGACTGAGTATTTCAAGATTGACAAATTCATCTGTGAGTCCAAGAATATTGGTGCTCCGACAATTGTCCAAATTTAATTCTTTCAACTGCAATGTAAAAGCAATAGAAAATTAGTTGTCACATTTTTTTTTGATAGGTGAAAATGGAATGGTTATCCCGCCTGCGCTAATGAGATACACTGGCGGAGCACTAATGATGAATTAATCAGGAATTAACCATGATAGTGTCCAGTGGGTACTGCGAGGAGGTCGAACAGATTGGGTATATTGTTAGCAATGGGATTCTTAGTCTCCATTACTAATAATCTCTTTCCCCCCAGTTATGTCATGTTGTATATTAGGGTTTTATAGATAAATGGATCTTAGATTAACAAAAAAGTATAGAGATTTTTTTCCACAAGGAATTAAAAATGACCTATAAAATATTTTATCACAAAAAAGTTTGTTCATATACATACTTATAAAATAGACAGCAAATCATTAATTCATTCATTTATCATTTACCAGAGGAATACTGTTCAAAAGTAGTTTGCTTGAGTACCTCTGTTCCATTCGTGTTTCAACTGTGAAGCAGTTGTTTGCATGACTGTGTTTCGGTTTTAAGGGTCCTCACCTCACATGGGGGGTATAATGGGGGAAACAGTATATTCTGTTGTCTATGGTACTGCTCATGTCTATAGGCAACACTTACCACTTTCCATCAGGTGGGCCATCAGCTTGTTTGCCATTCTAAGTTGTGTAAAAAACAATTTATTACTCATGACTACTTTTTTTTTTAACATGTACTTTAATTTATAGATATTTATTTCTAGATAAAGTGATAAAAAATACATCAAGTAATTCAGGTTACTTAGATGTTTACATATGATATAATATGCAATTATCCACAGTTAGTTGTATATTGTTTTATTTTTTAATAAAATGTTCATAGACAGGAACTGATGCAAAGTACTAAATTCAAATAATAATGCTGTGTTGTTTTATTAAATACTAATTTTTAACAACTTATTCATACCTATGTAAAAGAATAAATTTATACATCAATACTACAATTTTATACTGTGTGGTTACGACAAAAATGGACCATCCCTTTTGTTTCTCATGGGTGTAGTAAGAGGTAACCAAGGGAACATAATGGTGGAAGGATTGGCAGCAGCATTCTTTTTAAAACATCATCAAAGCCTATCTGTGGTCATTAATTCCCTTGTAAGGCATGTCAACTACTTGCACCCCCTTTTATCAGGGAGACCTATGTCCAGCAGTGGATAGTTAACAGCTGCTATAATGATAATGACTACAGTATTTTATTATGTCCAAGCCTCAGTTAAATATACTTCGAGACTAGAGCAGAGGTGCCATCTACAGTTTTATTGGATAACCTAACATATATTTCATTCAGAATGATTAGTTTGTTTGAAAGTTGAACATACAAGTAGGTACATTGGGGGTATTTGTCCATAAATCATATTTTTTTACTTTTAAAATAACAACCGTAATTAAATAACTTTGATGCTTAATTAATTGCATTAGTGTTAAAATTATTTAAATATACGCAAGTCCAGACGTAATGATTAAATTCCTATTTTGTTATAAAAAAATGTTTTTGCCATCATATATATATATATATATATATATATATAAAAGTGTAGGTACCTATATAATAAGTAGGAAGTTGTCGCGCGTCGTTATATTGTGGCAAAGTGGAGCATTTGCATGTTCGTCAATAATAGGTATAAAAGGTAAAACGAAGGATCCCTAAATAGATGTAGTATTATAGTTACAATATATTATAAAATCATAAAATAATTTTAAGATTGCCTTAAATACATCATAACACAAAAAAGTTATCTCTGTAAATTTATAGGGAATGTAACTGGTTAGGGCCATTTTATTGAAAGCTGAACCAACCAAAGTAAAACGTCAAAATGGTGAGAGTTGTCAAAGGTATAGGCGCAGTTGGTTTTATCCAAGAAATGAGTGATTATTTCGTGGAAATATTCATTAAAACACGAAAGGGATGTGTTCGTTAAGTCTTTTGTACCACGCAATAGAGTTGCCGTGTTATAGTTGCGGATATAAATGATATAGTTTTTATTTTGCAATGGCGGATGACACGAATCATCGCGACGCAATAAAAATGGCCGCTGTATGTATTGGTAAGGCGTGCGTCAATATCCGATTGCAGACGTTATGTGTAAATGAAATGATATTATGACATTAATCAGTAAATATAAATAATAAATATGAAATTTATAATATATTTTAAAAGTATACATTATGGAATACACTTTGGGTAATGTTACGCATAGGTGAAAGGGCGCGAAATTACGCCGAGTAGTTGCGTGCAATTCATAATGTAAACTTAGGGTTAATATAGAATTATTGGTGGTATTAAATGTTTACAATTATCTTTATTTATTGATACAACAATTAGATAATATCTTCGGATTGTGTTCTATATTTTATTGACATTAAATTGACAGACTAATCAATGAGCCTTATTTTTAAATGTATTATAGGATTTAATGTTGGGTAATATTTACAGAAAGTTATTGGTAAAAATACATAAAACACATTTACTATTATTTGATAATCAAACAAATAATAAAATTATAATAATACATTCCACGTAAATGCAGTATGTTTCAACACTTAACCTCAATAGCTTAATACTTTCAATAAAAACGTTATACCTGTATTACTGAATTCAATAAACACATTCATAGATAATTATTATCCTTGATGTTTATATGAAATATTTTTTATACTCCAAATGAATGTAAGAAAGGTGTAATAATTATGTGCACATGAATGAAACGTAACAATCGGTAATGGCTAATTTTCTGTACACAATAAAGTCACATCCCCATTTAAGAAGTGTATTTGTATTTAATGTTAATTATAGTACCTCTTATAACTGAGAAACACTTTATTTTCATAACAATAATAATAAAATTAGTATTACACTGTGGTACCTGACGAAATACGTATCGACAAAACATACCAATTTATTGAAAATTGTACATCTTTACCTGTGAAGGATTCCTCCCTCTGGATTCCAAGGCGACCCTCTTTTCCATTGCAGAAAACTTGTAGATTTGCACTATAATTCACTTCTTGATCACCTTTACAATAATTCTCAAGGAACTATATCACTAAGCTTGGGTTTCAAAACAGAAGGAAACTATAGATACACGAGTGACGTCGCGATAGTGGCGCTGTCTGGTGGCGAAATACAGTGACCGGATGCTAAGCTGTTGAAGAATTTATAATTTTTAAACAGAAAATAACTTTCTACAAATATATTTGAAATCATAATAAATTATAATATCCATAATCATATTTATTTAACTTAAAATATATCATTTATTAAGTTTGCTTTTCAAATGGATGTCTGTAATTTGGATTATTTTTATCGGCCATATTGGTAGCATTGTACGGTTGGTTGCCAGATTGGCACCGTGGCGCGTAATATGAATTATGTTATTATGACTTCATTGACAAGTAGCCGGTAAAATACTCGCATTAAGTATTTATAGTCAAAATGGTTATATATTATTTTATTCCATTTTAGTAGATTTAACAAATTTGATTACTTATTTAATTATTTTCAATATTAAGACGTTGCATTGACTAAATCGGTAGGTATAGTAAGTAGGTATTATATTATCTGTAGTAATGACTTAGGACTAAATTTATCCCGTGGGTAATTAGATTAGATTTAAAAAAAAAAAATACTCTTATTTATCAAATTAATGACGAAAGGGAATTGTAAGTAATAGTATCTAAAAGTTCCATTTCTAGCAATAAAGCTTATTAGGTTTTATTTTCATGGTTGAAGATAAAAATGGTAACCCCGCCTGCAATGTCGATACATGCTAACGGTATAGATAGGGGGAAAAGGGATTGTTGATAGTGGAGACTGCTAATTCCCATTACCAATAATCTCTTTTTCCTACCCTATTACTGGCAATATACCCTATATCAGGTCGACCTCCTGGCAGCCCTGACGGCGACGGCTGACAGCCTCATTGCTAGTAATATGCCTTATAATGCCTTATAATGCCAATATAAGGTCGACCTCCACGTGGTTTCCCCTGGAAACCATCGTGACGAATTCAACAATTGTTGAATTCGTCACGATGGTTTCTGACTAATGGTAATGGTTGGCTAACTGACCTACTTCATCCTCACCTATCATACTTCACTGGTGCCCCGCCGATGTATACCGATAACGCGGGTACTATTCCATTATCATCCATTGAAAGAAACTGACCTGCTCGGGGGGAAGGGATTGTTAGTAATGTAGTCTAATGGCCTCATTGCTAGCAAGCACTGTCAGATCGACCTTCACGCGGTTCTCCCTGGAAACCATTGTGATAAATATTTCTTGCATTCATCACGATGGGCTAACTGACCTGCTTTCATACTCATCTATTCCCTCACTGGTGCCCCGCCAGTGTATACTGATAGCGCAGGCGGGTTCACATTATCATTATCATTATCATCCATTAGAAAAAAAACTGATCTGCTCGGGGGGAAAAGGATTGTTAGTAATGGGATCTAAGAGTTACATCGCTAGCAATATAGGGTATATTAGGGTATATCAGGTCGACCTCCTGGCAGCCCTGACGGCGACGGCTGACAGCCTCATTGCTAGTAATATGCCTTATAAGGTCGACTTCCACGCGGTTCCCTCTGGAAACGGATTTTTAACGGATTTTTTCACGATGGGCTAACTGATCTGCTTTCACTCTCAATTATCACCTCTCACTGGTGCCCCGCCAGCGTATACCAATAGCGCAGGCGGGGTTACCATTCCATTTTCACCCATTAAAAAAAACTGACCTGCTCCATTTTCAATTATTGTCCCTCACTGGTGCCCCACCAGTGTATATCGATAGCGTATGCGGGGTAGCATCCATTAAAAAAAGGTATACATCAGTGGATAATCTAAAAAAATAGCGTTTTAAGGCCATTTCTGATACATTTTAGCACCAAAATTTTTTAGAGTAATTAGACCCTGCTAATTACGATTTTACCCAGTGTCATTCTCTCCGCCACCTCCTACCCCCTTTTACCAGTAAACGTGTCATTAACTATGATTTTTCTAATTTTCTACAAAAACTATTGAAAATAGCAGAAAATTGTCAAAGACAAATATAATCTTTATTAAATTCTCTACAACATTAGCATATTGATTATTTTTTAGGACTAATAAGTAATGAGATATCATCATATCAGCCTTTAACTGTCCACTGCTGAAGAAAAACTTCCCCCTTGGGGAGAGGGGGCGGGGTTACCAATACTTGCGACACTAGGCAGGAGGATTTGCATCCGCAGTTAGGCTTTGGAAATGTTTTAAGAGGTACGTTGTTGCCCATTCCTCGTCCTGTCTTAGTCGCCTCTTACGACACTCACGGGAAAAGAAGGGGTGGTTTAATCTATGCTGGGACCACACGGCAACGTTATTATTATATCTGTGCCTCTAGTGAGAAAGGGTTCAATTCAAAATGGTCACTTTTCAGGAGAGCCAAAAAACTATTTTTAAAGAAAAAAATGCTTTTATTATTTGCTAATTGAACAAGTCAATGATTGCACTTATGAAATTGTCGGTTTTTGTGTAAAACCTATAGTTTTAAAAATAATTCTATTATACCTAATCACACTTAACAAAAATATTAAAATTATGATGTGAAAATAGTTTTAAGTTGAATTAAAACTATTTTATTATATTGAAGAAAAACAATGATGTGTATTTTGCTATAAAAAAATAATCGCTATTAAATGGTGTAAAAGGGTTCAAATTGATTCATTTTACAAAAATAATTTTTGTAAAATATTGTAGTTTTATTTCTAATTATGACTTTTTTACCACAAATATTTTGTTAATTGTAGCCTTTTACATGTTTACTATCTCTATTGTTTTTAAAGATATCGTTACGATTCTTATACCATTCGAAAGAGAAAAATTTGCTTTTTTAAAGTAGCCTAAAAAAGAAAAAGGCTATAACTTGAGTTATACCCTTTCTCACTAGAGGCACAGATATTACAAGGTTTGAGATATGCCTGTCCGAAATGCATGAAATTTTTTTTTGCAATAAATTTACATTTGCTCTCACTTTTCTGAAAAACGGTCGTTACTGTGATAACACCTAAGTGATGAATTAATCCCCGTAAAAAAACATGCATTTCGGGCACGCATATCTTGAAACAAATCATAAATATCATAACAGTCCTATTAAAGTAATCTAATAAATAAAGTAATATGTAAATGTTGTAGAGAATTTAATGAAGATTATATTGTTCTTGGCAGTCTTTTGCTATCTTCAATAGTTTTTGTAAATTATTATATAAAATATAGTGCAATGTGCTTTTTACTATAGCATCTTCTACTTATGTACGTTAAGTACCTACTGTTAATCTAAGATAAAATTCTACCACATGTAGTTAGTGTATCTAGTGGCGTAACAATAGGTTTTGTAGAGCGGACAAAATGCCACGGGCTCCTACCTGAGGGAGCCTCTGATTCGAGAGGTCATGAGCACAGGAAGAATATAATTATTAATTGCATAAATAATATAATAAAATAAAATAAATACTTTTAGAATTAGAATATTAACTAAAGAACATACATGAATTATACAAATAAATATCAAGATTTTTTTTTTGAAACTTCAAATTTATATTATGAAGGTTTAGTTACGCCATTGAGTAAAACATATGTACGTTAATCCGTTTAAGCATGTTTAAGCTGTTTTGTTACTTAGCAAATATACAAATATAACAACTTTCATGTTTATAAGATTTATAATGTACTGATTACTTACTCTGCGTGTTTTTCATTTTTTCGCTATAATATGAAAGATTAAAATTTCGTAATGGAGGCAAAATATATATTACTGATACATTATTACCCAATATTTATAATTTGAATATTTTTTAATTATTACGGAAGGTTTATTCACCCCGTATAAATTTAACTGTCATCACCATTTCCATTGCCAGCAATATACCCTGTCAGGTCGACCTCCACGTGGTCCCCCTGGAAACCATCTCTCATGTATATTCAGTCAGTCAGTCAGTATCAGGATGAGCTAACTGGCCTATTTTTTCATTCTCATCTATCTTCCCTCACTGGTGCTCCGCCAACGAATACCGTCAGCGTCACCCATTAAAAAAAAATTCAATGAAGTCTATTCAGATAATAAATATTATCAATAAATGTAGGTATAAAAAGATTAGAGTTTGATGCAGTAGACAGCGTGTTTTGAGAGGTAGAATAGAGTTGTGAGATGATTTAGACTGACCTAATTGAGTTTCGTTATTATAATACTAGTGAACAAACACAGTAATTAAACATTTTCGACAGTAGTAAATCAGTTGTGAATGAGTTCTCCACTATCAACTGATTTCAGTCTAGGAAAACGCCCTTGATCGATTCCTAAAGATACACTTTAAATATCCCTGAGGACAACCGTGGCTTGGTTTCGGCAGTTTCGCAAGCGACAAAAATACTTCTGGATTTAAAAATTAATGTTCGCCAAATATAGATTTAAGTTGTAGTTTAAGCTATCATCTAATATATCAATTCAAACTATGACTGTTCGTTTTATTTGCAAGATAACCCGTAATAACTTTCTAAAAGTTATAAAGGTTAATTTCTAAAAGTTATAAAATACTAGCTTTTTCATAAGCGTAATTCATATGCATCAATGCGTAATAATCATGTATACCAAATTTCATTATGATTGATTAAGCTGTCAAGGTACTCAAAAGTACCAGATTTATTTTTATATTTATGACACTAGCTTTATTCCGCGGCTTTGTCCATGTGTAACAGTATATGTCTCATATAATATAATAAGATCACATTTGTCTGTAAAAAGGAATGAAAAACGAAGTTTTTGGGGTTCTGGCTCTAAACTATTAAGGGTTTGGTACACATTTTGCTTTTTGAATTATATAGACGGATTTATTATCTTAAAGATAGCCTTTTTAAATCTTTGCTTTGCTCATTATTATGTACTAATTTAATTCTAATTTCCAATGTTGTTTTTTAAAAAGCGCCGAGACCTAGAAGTTTGCTGGCGTCATTCATTAATAAATTAATATAGAGTTGGTATGGTATCATTAAGGATACTTTTAATTTTTATTCAAATTTAGATAGCGCTGTTATTTTTTTTTATGTTTAACCCAAATTTTCTAGTAATTTATTTA